CAGGGGGGCTTTCCACACCAACCCCAGCTGACTACCTCCCCTCATTTTTCTTTCCCCTCCTCTTCTTCCCTCCTCTCTTTTCCTCCATCCACTCTGGGAATAGTCAGTGCTATCTAGTTTTTTAGGGTTATTGCTATTTGTTTTAATATTTTTTTCTATTTTACGAGGTTTGACACACACCCCCAGGAGTAGTGGTGTGACACTAATGGGAGCAGGATACAAATAACATAACAATTAAAGACTATTCAAGGTTTCAGACAGAAGTGAAAATAATAGGCATTATTGTGACAATGAACTGAGTGGAGAATAAATCCCAAAATACAGAGAAGTGAAGTAGGTACACTGTTCTGCTTACAACTCTTCCATAAATACTGGGGCCAAGAACCAGAGGAAGGCTTCTGCAGACATGGAAATTGGCAGGGGTAACAATCTCTCCTCTCTGCTGAGCCCCCATTGCAGTCCCCCAAGCCTATTCTGGAAGATTAGAAAACCGTCCAGAACTAGTTCTGGGGCAGTGTTGAGTGAAAGGAGAGGGAAAGAGAGTTCCTTTCCTCTGTGGCTGCAAAATGTCGGTTCTTGGTTTGGATGTTCAATAATTCCTCTCCAAAAGTCATACGTACGATCCCATTTCAATGTCATTCATGCAGCATCACAATGTGTTGTAGCACTGATGTCCTCCCAGGTCTTGGGAATTTAATCCAATTAAAAGATCTGACAGCCCCCTACCCCCCGCAACACACATCACTGTTGTTTGTTCCTGCTGCCAGTCCATTAAACAACCTAACCTCATTTCTCTGTGTTTCAATAACCAGGTGCCAGTTGAGCTCGCATGCTGCCAAACTAACATAATTTAACTACTGTTAGCTTGCTGCTCTAAGTAATAGTTTTTTAAAGTGGAAAAATAATATTTGAAGTATGAACTGTTACCTTAAAAGGTTTTTAAGCTCCCGGAGTGGAAACACTGACACCCGCACGATTCCATCCACTCTTTTGTGAAACTGAAGGGCTAGTTAATCTCTAACTTGAAACTATATAGCTGTTATTACTTTGAAAGGGCAATGAAGCGTGATCCAAGAGCTTTTTTTTTACTTTTGCCATTTGGCATAGGATGTATTCTCCCAATCATACTCTTATAAATCAAGGTCAAAATATTACATAGAAAGGTATGTAACACTAACATGCAGGATTAGGAACCTCGGTGAATTTATGTACCATGCTTTCCAATACAATACGGGTGGTCCCATATCTGCTGGCTGGGAAAGAGGCAAGGGCCATTAAAGAACAAGAAGGTAGTTTCTGAATACTTGGTGTATTGCTCAGGTATGCAGAAATATACCTGTCTGTAAATTAAAAATTAACCACCATCTTGACAACGACATACGCTTAGTGCCATCCAAGACTTACAGAACTCTAAGGACAAACATAATATAATGTTGAGGATGTTCGCTGGGGGACGGGGAAGGAGGGGGGAACTGGTGTCTTCTACCTCATAGTTTCCCAGATGGGGAAGTTAATAATAATCTGTCAGTTCCATTCTGACTTATGTGGATCCTTTTCAGAGTTTTCCAGGTAGAGAATACTCAGAAGTGGTTTACTATTCCCTTCCTTTGGGGGCATTCGGGAACTGTGCAGCTTGCCCACGGCCACATAGGGTGGATCTACTCGCAGGAGGCATAGTGTGGAATTGAACTCCTAACCTCTTGCTCTGCAGCCAGATACCTAAACCACTGAGCTATCCAGTCAGCATGCGGAAGTTAGGCATGGCATATCAAATTTGTGTAATGGCATTTTCAAAAGTCCTTTTTTTTCCTGGAGAAGAATTGGCAAACAATTACCTCTCCCCACCTCCTATCCCCTTCTGTACACATGAACAGGTTTGGGGTAATCAGTTCCCTCTGAACTACTAGATCCTTTGGAACAATATAGCGCACTGGTGGGAAGTTTCAGGAAGATGAGAAAGAAAAATGTCCTCCTCCCCCTCCCCTTCTGAAATGGATATGGCGGCTCTGCCAGCTCCGATGAGAGTTACAAGGTTCTGGATGGTGTTCCAAATGAGCCTGTTCCTGTGAAACAGTGGCGTAGGGTGAGCAGCCATCACCTGGGGCAAGGCAGATGTGCCCCCAACCCAGCCCCTCCAGGACTCCTTTTGGGGTTGCGGGGGTGGGGAAGGGATGGATGAGAAGAACAGGGAATCAAAAGGCATAATCTGTGGCGGGGGGGGAAGGGAGGAGAAGGGATCACTGATCGCTGCCCTGTGAGCAAGGGAGGGGACGCAAAGGGGGGTGGTCAAAACCCAGCGCATCGGAAAGAGGAGATGATCCCTTCGGAGCGCTCAAAACACTTTGAATGGGCACGTTAAAAATAGATCAAGTGGGTGGGTGCTACAGAACGCGAGAGAGGGGGAGCAAACGGTGGGGCCAGCCAAATTGTCCCTGGTTTCTTGGGCTCATTCTTGCATGAAAACCCCCCAGGGGTCCCACAACTCTCCCCCCCCCTCCGCTGCTTCTAGACTCCCATCCCAACAGGAACACAGGTATCTTGGTTCCAAAACAGATTTATAAGCACTCTCTCTCTCCTAGGTTATAACCCAGTGATTCTTGGAGAGTTTCGCATGTGCGTGCATTCCCATGAGTCTGGGGAGATTCCATTCAAGCTGTCACTGTCTTAGAAACAAAGACTTGGCAGTGGAGGTCAGGCGCAGTTGGGCTTATTTTATTTTTTGAAATTTTGTGCCCCTAAGAATTTTGCTCCCAGGGCAACCACCCCTATAGCCCCACCCACCCAATTCAAATGGTCCTTGGTACAATTCACTCTAGCCGCCTAGAGTGGTCATATTGACTAGATAGGAGGGATATGAATGAATGAATGAATGAATGAATGAATGCATGAATGAATGAATGAATGAATGAATGGAAAGACTGCTCTCTTCCATTTTTTTCATATAAAGTAAGCTTGTCCAACCTGCGGCCCGAGGGCCGCATGCGGCCCAGGTCAGCTCGTAATGCAGCCCAGTGCAATTTTTTTATTTTTAAAGAAATTCCAGTTTCAAGTTACACTGCCGGCGCTTGCGGCCAGAATGCGGCCAGGGCACGTCACAACAATAGAGGGGGAGAGAGGGAAGGAAGGAAGGAGTAGGAGGGGAAGGGACGGGGGGCTGCGTGACTGCATTGCGCCGTCTCCATCAATAGGTGGATCCCCTCCCAGCCCCATAAAGCCACTGGAGTCGAAGCTGGCATCCTCTGCTGTCTGAGATCGCAGCTGCCAGTAAACGCACTTGGAGCGGGGCTGCAGAGGACGGCTAGGGCTGCCCCCCCCATGCGGCCCAAACCAAATGTATGTGCGGCCCAAACCAAATTTTCATCTTCTAATGTGGCCCAGGGAAGGTGAAAGGTTGGACACCCCTGATATAAAGCTTCTTCCCTCCTAAGACAATCCTATGTTAAAACAGAAAACCCATTTCTCATCATAGCTTCTTTTTCGGAGTTCTTTCTGTGTGTTTTGTAGTTAATTTAAGCCTAATTGAAAGCTTTTGATTGGGCATACTAATTGTGAAAATATACTTTATCATTGAACACATCTTCAAATCACTTGAAAAATGTAAAACACTGTTTTGAAATAATCAAAAACTTTGACTGGGTCTGACTTTGGAAATGAACAGCTATTAAACTCTGCCCTCTCTACCCCATGAAATGAGAAATGAAATAAACCACACCCCACAGAGGAGACAGAAAATTATGGGAAGTCTCATTTTCCATCACAATTGTCACTAGATATTCCAAGGTAAGCCTTATATTGTTTGGATGGGGCGGGGGACATGAATGCTTCAG